GTGTGGCTAAAACTTTCATGCTATCCAAGAGTCTTCATGCCCAAGGAGAGTCTTTCCTCATCAGCCAACACAGGGTGGGTCTTTGGAACTACCCACAGCGCGGAAATCCGATTCCCCCGATGGAGCAGGCCGCCGACATGCGGACGGTGACGGACGTGTTGGTGAAGTAGGACGTGGCCGTCTTGGTGGAGAACGCTGTCGACCACACCGTCAGCAGCTTGCGGGCCTCAGCCCCCTCCCGCGCCAGGTCCTCCTCCAGGTCAAGGGGATGCGCTCCCCGCATGGACCCGTCCAGCCTCTCGTGGTGGGTATCAGGGTTCAACTTTGTCAGGCGCTGCAAGAAACTCTTCTTGCGACGGCCCGCACAAGGCATAACACCCTGAGCTGAGGGTTGAAGAAATTTGAGGTCATAATATTACATTGCACCTCTTTTGGTATAATCGGTTATTAGACGCTGGAAGGGTGCAGTAGGAAAGGATCTAGAAAGAAGTTGCAGCGATAAGAGCTTCCATCTCTCGCACCCAGTGACCCGGGTTCAAGTTCCACTCAGGACAAGTTCATTCGAGAAGCTCAGCTAATGGCCAACTCACCCATTTAACCAAATCTGTTTTGGCTTGACTAGGGTGTAATGTATTGCGGCCTTATGTTTCTGGCCGGTCAACGAACCAATGACGGTCATATAACAAACTAACTGTAGCCAAAATGCTCTAAAAATGTGATCTATCACCTCGTCTAGTTGTCATCATCAAGATGACCAATTACAACTACAGAATCTCTTCTAGAAGTGGCTGAAGAGTGGGACAGTACGTCATGACAAGGTCATGAAGTTCAGAAGGTACATCGTTATATGGTCATGAGGTTGGGGTAGTACGTAGTGATAGGATCAGAGGGTTGGAAGAATACGTCGTGATAGGATAATGGGGTTGGGAGAGTACGTCGTGACAGGATTATTAGGAAGGAACGCACGTCGTGAGAGGGTCACAATAAGACAGGACATTACTGCTTATATATTAGATTCAATTGTGCTACCATATTACTGCTAATAAATACGAATGCGTTGCCTTATTGCTGCTTAAAAAATACGAATGCATTTTCACATTACTGCTTATCAAATGCGAATGCATTCTCACGCTCCTGAGGCCATACTTTCAAAAATCGCTAAGTGAACGTAAGAACTTGCGCTCTAATTTCCTGTCTATGATTGGTGGATTTTGCTTGAAAGGCCGTCAATGGTTGGCTGATGAACTTACGATCTCTTAACTTTTTTGAAAGTATGGGCCCTGATTATAAAGAACTTCATTAGTACGCACTGATAAAGCAGGTGGCGGGGATAGAGGAGGTGGTGAAGGAGAGCTTGAACTTGGTGGTGGTGGTGTAACTCGCCCACAGGAAGAATTTCTCTGCAACCACACCAGCAAATTAATTTAGAATGTTATAAATGCTGTTGCTATAACTTCATTTCAAATCATTTTCTTTTTTTTCCACCAAACATAAGCCTGAACTAAATATTATGTACCTAGAATATGCGCTATATTTTAATGAAAAGAGTACTTAAATTACTTAATCACCACTTTAATCAGTTGTAAATTTGTAGGAATCATTACATATTGAAATACTTCGAAGAGCATGTATAAGTCATACGGTGATTTATAGAGGCGCGACCAATAAGGCAATTTCTTATGATGGTCTACCATATCACGTACTGAACGGTTGAGCTACCACACCGGGACCCGTCTTGGCCACTGTTATATTTTTGTGAAGCAGTAGACCAGACAGCCATCTTGACCGTGGCCTCCTCAAACACCTTTATTCCTTGTACTCAAAGGTTGTGTGTGTCCACTTGTCATGGCTGCATACCCAGACTTTAGTGCTGCATGTGTTTGCTAATAAGTTCACTAATGTCTTCACTAATATATTTACTTACATTATCACCTCGTTACAAACTGCGTTCTATTCCGTATCTTCTCTGTGCATTTTACGGAAATCAGTTGATCAAGTTATTCAAATTCCGTGCTGGAATTCGACGCGAAGCGAAAGCTCCGTTATCGTCCTTCCTCTGCGAACCTGGAATGTTCGCTAAATCGATTCTCACACAAGGGTGTTAGTTTCCTGCAGCCTGCAGTCCAACAAAAATACGGTAGACCGTTCATTTTCTACGGTTCATACTGTAGACCGTTCATTTGTTAGCCGATTGTAGTACCAAATCATAATGGAATTTCTAGGTCATTTTGTGAACAAGGTAATAAAAACTTTGATCAGAGCTTGTTTTTTACGACATAAGATTGAGGACAAAATCTTTCCAAAATACACTATAACAGCAAGCTATTATTATTATTGGCCACAATTACAATTCTACTCACTATAAAACGGCAGGTATAATTTGTTGGGTACATATAAAGCGACACAAGCACACTTTTCACCCAGTCTAATTTAATGACATTTCGAATGAGCGTTTGTAATCCTGACGCAATCAGTCACGTATGTTAGGTGTATATATGGACCTAGACCAGTCATTCCAGTATGATTATAAAGTGACGGGACATTTTATCGGCGAGTTGCCCCGACGGACGGCGAGTTGCCCCCCCCCCCTCTTGTGAGGGCGAGGGAACAGTCCCCTCATGTGAGGGCGAGGGTTCTCTCACCTCAAGCAAAGGCGAGGGGCCAGTCCCAACATTTGAGGACGGGGGGCTGGCGAGGGCGCCGGTCAGCACGAGGACGACCAGAGCAGCAGCGTTACTTGACGTCACCTGTATCGGGTGTGATCACTTCCTTATATACATGGGACCAATGTACTCAATTTTATAATATTATCAAAGGATGCGTATTATTATTGTGTTATTGTTATATTATCTTCGGACAGCACGAGGACGACCAGAGCAGCAGCGTTGCTTATCGTCACCTGTATCGGGTGTGATCACTTCCTTATATGCATGGGACCAATATTCCCGATTTTATAATATTATTTTATCAAAGGATGCAAATTCTTCGCTTTTCAAATGATTTGTCCAATAAATTAACAATCGGCTGATTTAACTTAATATGAATAATTTAACGCAGCCCTGGACTCTTTGTTAGAGGAGTTTAGTTTTTTAAATCTTGACTCCGAAAGAAATGAAAAGCTTGTCTGTTAGCTAGGAAAAGAGGCATCTCATGCATGTTAGTTACCTAGAAATAGAGGCATCTGTTGCATGTCTGTTAGCTAGGAAAAGAGGCATCTACAATTGTAGTGCATGTCAGTTAGTTAAAAAATGAAGCATCAAATGCATGTTACATGATGTTTGATAGCTAGAAAAAGATGCATCGATTGCATGTCAGTTAGCTAGGAAAAGAGGCATCTAGTGCATCTTAGTTACCTAGAAAAAAACATCACGTGCATGTTAGTTATCTAAGAATATAAATGTCAAATCATGCACAAACTATAATTTAAATTGCGTACAATAAGCTTTAGCTCAACATATTTTATNATTGAGATAGCTGCTGGACTTATTGCCTGGTCCGTAATTTGCTAGGCATTTTAAGACTGAACATATGCTCCTGCATAGCTTGGAGATATATAAATATAGAAACAAAATATATAGATATAGAAACAAAAATTCATGTTATTACGTTAAGTATAAGTTACTCTTATATAAAAACATCGTCGCGAATGCCTGGGTTACCTGATTCCTACTAACAATTAAGAAGCTACTTTGATCGAAATTTATTGTTAAGATAAGATTGTTTCCGGGACCCGAGGGCGGGGGTGATCTGCCTAGCGACAACGCGGAGACGGAGGACGACGAAGGCGGCGCATCAGCGTGACCTGGGACTAGGAATTCCCGAACTCATCATAAGGCATAAGTCATAAGGAAATATATTGCACCAACGGTAACATAAGGCAGGATGGAGATTGCACCAACTGCAACATCAGGCACAACATCAGGCATCAGGATTGCACCAACGGCATCAGAAGGCAGGATGGAGATTGCGAAAATGTCAACAAATAGAACAAAATATTCCTACGTACGAATATTCACCTATGTGTAACCTGCCCTTCTCTAACCTTTGTGTTAGTCACCAAATGAACTTGTTCTTGTCTTGAACCTAATTCCAAGGGGTGGTTTTGTGTATAACTCATTTTATGTCATTTATTAAATCCTATCTAATTGCTCAGTATGTTAATTACTTAATTAAACCTACATATACTTATATTTGCAAAATGCACTCTATGCTATGAATCGAAATTATGATGAATTTTCCAATGATGAATTACTATAGTGATAGATGTCCACTGATGAATTACTATAGTGATAGATGTAGAAATGATGTATTACTATAGTGATAGATGTCCAATGATGAATTACTATAGTGATAGATGTCCAATGATGAATTACTATATTGATAGATGTCCAGTGATGAAAAATTATAATGATAGATGTCCAATGGTGAATTACTATAGTGATACATGTCTAATGATGAATTACTATAGTGATAAAACTTTTCATTGGTGAACTGTCTCGTATGATGAGGTGTGTGCATGGCCACCGGTTATTATTTTCATAATTAAGTTGGTTATTTCATGTGTTCGTCACTCAAGAGACATTCATTGAAGAAGCAGGAATTAAGTAAAAAATTCTTTTAAACTAGTTGGTATCGGATTCTCCTCTGTCCTGGATCCAAAAGTTTGTTTAGCTTTATAGAGTGATTGATATTTCCTAGTCGTATTCCAGGGCTAGATAAACATGAGCTGAAGCAACATTTCTAGAAAACTTCTCACAAAATCCCACCTAGTAAATATTATTCTACGCCTAAGTGGTTATGATTTCTCCAACAATTGATTGTTATTTACATAATATTTGCTTATATATCATTTCAAGTATAAATTTTTAATTAGTATTTTTATAACAATGGAACGAACAAATTTTTTTTATAATATATTAAATGAGTTAGATTTGTAATTTAAATTTATAAATCCAATAATTCCTCTATATCTATGATCATGGAGACGTGTTGCTACTCACCTTCATTCCTGCACGTCGTACGCCGGTGTGCATGCGTCGGCCGCGCGACGTCGTCATTTATCTACCTGTTTCAGTTTTTTCATCATTTACAATCATCCTGTTACTATCCTCTTGTTTTTAACAGCGAAAAAACAATAGTTTCCCCCAATTCCTCGATGGCTCGCACCAGCTTCTTCATCTCGGCATCGTTACACTGTATTTTCCTACAGCGCAGAATACCACATCAATGCCTACTAATATGAGAAATATTATAACTAGAAAGTGGCTTTGTAAAATGTAGAAGTATTTATTTAATTGTAAGCTCTAAACTAGGCCGTAAATATATCAATTCGTTGAGTAACAAAAATAAAATTGGCATGGAACGTAAGAAGCTCGCTTCCAGATACTTATTTGCCAGCGCTTCAGCCAGTTGGAGGCATTTCTGGTGCTTCAGTTGGAAAATACAGATACAATTTTCAACACAGATAAAAATTTCTACAAGTAAATAAATTTTTACAGGATCTTTTTGGTTATATACCCATACGATTGACCCAGTATCCTATAAGATTCTCATCAATTTACCATTGAACAGAATAGCTTTATTCCCTGCGATTCTCATCAGTCAACTACTGAACAGGATAGTTTTATTCCCTATGATTCTCATCAGTTAACTACTGAACAGAATAGTTTTATTCCCTATGATTCTCATCAGTTAACTGCTTAACAGAATAGTTTTATTCCCTATGATTCTCATCAGGTAACTGCTGAACATAATAGTTTCATTATTTCCTATTCTTATCAGTAAACTACTGAGCAAAAAAGCTTTAATCCCTACAATTATCATCAGTTAATTACGGAACAGAATAGTTTTATTCTTTACGATTCTCATCAATTATCTACTGAACTGAATAGCTTTATTCCCTAGATCCTCATCAGTTTATTACTGAACAGAATAGGATTATTCCCTATGATTTTCATCCGTTAATTACTTAACGAGAGAAACTTCATTCCCTACGTTACTGATTATTTCCCATATAAAAAATCAGATATGCATGTTTAGCCGGAAACACCGCGGCGAAGTCGAAATAATTATGGTAGCGTGCCGACTTGGCGGTGATTTACGTATTGGTTTTAAGTACACACGGGCTGACGAGTCGCTCTTTGTTCCGGCTCTTCAGGCGACAGTCGCACTTTGGTCCGGCTATCACCTGAAAGCCGGACCTTTGGTTCGGCTTTCAGGCGATGAAAGCCAAACCAAAGCATGAAAGCCGAACCAAGAATGCTGTTAACGAAGAATGTTAACAGCATTCTCGCCTGAATGCTGTTAACATTCAGGCGAGAGTGTTAACAGCACGAAACGGGCTGTTAACACTCTCTAGATGCAAAAAATGGATAGTATAAAATATTACAGCAAGCAGAATCATATCCTAATTCTTCGGTCACATATTAATGGACGATAGTCGATTTATGACAGAATTACTCTCAAAAATACCTCGCAAGTACGTGAGTACCAGTTCATCAGAATATCAGTTCATCAATAGTGTAGACAAATGAATGTTGACTAAAAGCATTATCAAATACAATTAGAAGTAATATCACCTAATAAAACACAGTAATAAATTAGTATTTGTTTGGGACGTAGCAGTCGCGGGCCACGATGGATCGCCGCCTCTGATTATCGCTCATCCGCCCTCATTGGGCCAGCTGATGCACGACATTGATGCTTGCTTCTCGCCGCTGGTAGTGTTGCAGGGGAGGTCGATCTGGGATTGCGCCCAGGAACACGTCCAGTCGTCTCTTGACGGTCTGCAGGGTGAACTCCTCCTCTCTAAAATCCTTTGGTAGGACGTTAAACAGCCTCGGCCCTGCCACGGAGAGTGATCCTTCCCGCAGGGATTGAAATATGACTGCAAATCTGTTACGTAGTGAGAAGACCTTGCACAGACTCCACCTTCTTTCGTTGTGATGTGTCTCAATCCTGAAGATATCGCTCTCGAAGTTTGGCGCCATTCCGGTTAATATCTTCCATGTGTACAGAATGACATACCTCTCCCGTCTCCTCTGCAGTGAGTACAGACCCAGGCGCCTTAACCTCTCCCAGTAGTTCAACTCTTCCATCTGATCCTGGAAGTGAAGGTTCGCTGGACACCCTCCAGTTGCCGCACTGCGCCGAGTGTGAATGGGGTCCAGAGCTTGCAGCAGTATTCAAGGATTGGTATTACAAGGGCTCTAAAGAGTGTGATCATTGGTTCCGCTACTCTTGTTTTGAACGTCCGCCAGATCCTCCCCATCTGTCGCCTACCTCTTGCGGTTATTGCCGTTATGTGATCACCAAAATTGACCTGAGTATTCATCAACACTCCTAGATCGCGAACGATTCGCTTCTCTTCGATTTCCGAGTTGTCAGGTGCTAGGTAGTGGTGCTCCATACCCGGCTTCCGCTACCTCTGTATCTCAAAACCTCAAACATGGTCCCATTGAACTGCATGTTGTTCACTTGTGCCCAGTCATATATTGCAGCGAGGTCTTCTTGCTACCTCTCGCAGTCTTTCCTGTCCGTTATAGTCGTTAGTATCCTGGTGTCGTCCGCGAATGACGATGCAGAGGCGTGGTTCAGAGCCACATCTATATCAGCGATGTGAATGAGGAAGAGGATTGGGCCGAGTATTGTTCCCTGTGGTACTCCACTCTTCACCCTAGCCTCACTCTATCTTGAGCCTCCCACAACTACAGCTTGTAGTCTCTCTGTTAGGAAGCTGTGGATCCATGCCAGCAATTCACATCCGACCCCCAGCAGTCTCAATTTTCTGAAGAGCACTCCATGGTCAACTTTGTCAAATGCTTTCGCGAAGTCCAAATACACCACGTCCACCCCGGTCTCCTCCTCCAGCATGGCCAGGATTTGTTGGTGATGCTCCAGTAGCTGAGACAAGCAGGAACGATTTCGTCTAAAAGTGTTGTCTTCTGTTGAAAAGGACCACTCACCTGGGGACACTAACCTCTACCTGGGGACACTAACCACTCACCTGGGGACTCAAACCACTCACCTGGGGACACTAACCACTACCTGGGGACATTAACCACTCACCTGGGGACACTAACCACTACCTGGGGACACTAACCACTCACCTGGGGACACTAACCACTCACCTGGGGACACTAACCACTACCTGGGGACACTAACGACTCACCTGGGGACACTAACAACTCACCTGGGGACATTAACCACTCACCTGGGGACACTAATCACTAATCTGGGGGCACCAACCACTCCCCTGGGGGGCAATAACCACGAACCCGGGGGCACTAACCACACATGGAGGCATCTTAAAATCTTTGTGACGTGTTGTTTTTACTCCTGTGAGAATTCGCTAACGTTTCCCCGTTCAAGACGGTTCCACACAATACAGTCGTTGCAGCCAGTCACAACTAGGTGATGTCCAAAAAACTTGGTCGTGAGTACTTTCAGAATTTTGCAGTTCCTGGGGCATTTATAGGTGTTCATGAGTTAATCTTTATTTCAGCTGGTACCCTACGCCGGCTCAACGCCTCGGAGCGGGGCAGCACGGCATTTTCAAAGTTCGAGAGAGAGATAGTTCGAGAAAAATGACGTGGCAGCCGGCTGAAGCCGGCTTCTGTCACGGGAGCTCAGCACAATAAACTTCTTGCCTCAACGGTTAGAACAGAACTCTTGAACGTGGTCGGGGCTAGCAGACGACGAGTGGCGCTTAGCAGACGATTGTAACTTACGCTACCGATAGATAATATCACAGCAAGAGAGATTCCTTGTTACAGTCACGAAATAAAAATATGTCTTCGCATTACTTAGTCATATATAAGTTAAATCTCTTGAGTAAAATCAGAAGCGAAACAATGTTCTCAAAAATATAATGATCCACAAAAATTGTGTTCCGTCACACATGGTAGAAGTTATGACGTTTTATTACGCGGGCCTACAAATTAAAGCTTTTTTGCATGGAGAAACACACGGCTCATAAACATGGTAAGCATGGTAGATGGAGTACATGGGCATGAGTGAGCAGTACGGTAGACATGTACTTATACGTCTTAGCTGATTCTTGGTAGCTGGGACCCGCTGGGCATGCATATAACGGAGATAGAAGCCGTCACGAAGTGGGTCGTGTTTGTCGTAGTCTCCCTGATCGCCGTGAAGGATATGTGTACAAAAGAGCTGCTCTCCCGTACTTCTTGCCACGTCTTCCTTGCCTAAAGCTGCGTCGCCAAAAAGCAGGTCGCTGATGAGGTCGTTCGGTGACTAATCGATGTGCTTCGACGTCGAGGCAAATGTATTGTATCGACTTTTTACGATGTCCATAGCTAAGCAGAGATATCCATCGTACAGCCAATATATAGGCGAAAATGGCGTACGAACAATTTTGGACTAGTACGAACATTTATGGACAGGTTCGTTTAGTTACTTTGTGCCATTTAGACTCGTTAGCTGTCTACGCGCAACTCACAGACTTTATTTGGTGTACTGGAGACCTGGAGACCCCATGCCAACTGGAATACCCAGGCCTACTGGTGACCTCTTGCCAACTGGAATACCCAGGCCTACTGGAGACCCCTTACCAACTGGAATACCCAGGCCTACTGGTGACCCCTTGCCAACTGGAATACCCAGGCCTTCTGGAGACCCCTTGCATTCTGGAATACCCAGGCCTACTGGTGACCCCTTGCCAACCGGAATACCCAGGCCTACTGGAGACCCCTTGCATACTGGAATACCCAGGCCTACTGGAGACCCCGTGCCAACTGGAATACCCAGGCCTACTGGAGACCCCTTACCAACTGGAATAACCGGGCCTACTGGAGACCCCAGGCCTACTGGGGTACTCAGGTCCACTAGACTGACTACATTATTCAATTCTAGTAAGGAATCCTGGCTTTCCCAAGAATAAGGCAATAAGCATAAAACTGTGCTGATCTATGAGTTTTTACTTCATTTAATAGGGGTCAAAATATGTACATATATACAGTATAACGGCAAGCTATTATGATTATTGCGCGTAATTCTAGAGCAATGAAAGAAGGCAAGGCAAGGACATTTCCTACGGTACATTCAAAACACAAGCACACCTTCACCCAATCATTTAAAACTGATGGCATTTGAAACGCAAATTGTAAACCTGTTAGGTAATCAAAAACGTGCGTCTAGTGTATAAATCTGTCACTATTTTTAATTTATAAAAATTATAGTGTACGTATACAGGACATTTAATTTGCATGCTGAAACCAAATGTTGAGAACCAATGGCTGTTAATTGTTCGATAAAAATATTTTTCCGCTGATCCACGTCGAGATGCGGTCGTATTTATGAAATCCGCTGGATGGACGGCTCGGCATTTGCCTCTGCCACGTACACGATTGATGCGAGCTTTTTACACACCTTTAACGTTACACTCAACATTACAACACGCTGTAGAAATGCCGTCCATTTTTTAATTCGGTGACGATCATGCCGCCTTGCTTCTGGAGTCCATAAATGAAAACGTCCTCGGCCACCAGCTAAATACCGCAAACGATAGGGTACAACAAATTTACGCACGAGGACACATGTTCCTCTTACGTGAAAGTACAAGTACCACTAAGTAAGGAAATAAGTAGCTTTATGTGTGGCTAAAACTTTCATACTACCCAAAAGTCTTCATCCCCAAGGAGAATCTTCGTTATCAGCCAACACAGGGTGGGTCTTTGGAACTACCCACAGCCCGGGTACCCGATTCCCGCGATGGAGCAGGCCGCCGACATACGGACGGTGACGGACGTGTTGGTAAAGTAGGACGTAGCCGTCTTGGTGGAGAACGCTGTCGACCACACCGTCAGCAGCTTGCGGGCCTCAGCCCCCTCCCGCGCCAAGTCCTCCTCCAGGTCAGGGGGGTGCGCTCCCCGCATGGACCCATCCAGCCTCTCGTGGTGGGTATCAGGGTTCAATTTTGTCAGGCGCTGCAAGATACTTTTCTTGCGACGGCCCATACAAGGAACTGCATTCACAGCTGAGTATTGAAGAAATTTGAGGTCAGAATGGCACATTGCACCTCTTTTGTTATGATCAAGTATGAAACGCTGGGAGGGTGCAGTAGGGAAGGAAGCTGCACTGGTAAAAACTTCCATCTCTTGCACACAGTGGCACAGGTTCGAGTTCCACTCAGGACAAACTCAATTGGGAATCTCAGCTAATGGCCAACTCACCCATTTAACCAAATCTGATTGATAAATGAGGACCTGGCTTGTCCAGGGTGTAATGAATTGTAGCCTAATGTTGCTGGCCGGTCAACGAGCCAATGACGTTCATATAACAACCTGTAGCCAAAGTGCTCTTAAAATCTTATCTATCACCTCCCCCTCGTCTAGTTGCCACCATCATGATATGCAATTACAACAACAGAATCTCTGCAAGAAGTGGCTGAAGAATAGGACAGTATGTCATGACAAGATCTGGAGGTTGTTAGAGCACGTCGTGACAAGGTCTTGAGTGGGGAAGGTTCATCGTTATAAGGTCATTTGGTTGAGGTAATACGTCATTACAGGATCATGGGGTTGGCAGAATACGCAGTGACAGTATTATTAGGGAGGTAAAGTGCGTTGTGAGAGGGTCATGTGGGGACAGGTCTATACTGCTTACGTATTACATTCGATTGTGCTACCATATTACTACTAATAAAATACGAATGCGTTGTCACATTACTGCGTATAAAATTTGAATGCATTGTCACATTCCTGGTTATAAAGAACAGCATTAATACTCACTGGTGAAGCAGGTGGCGGGGATAGAGGAGGTGGTGAAGGAGAGCTTGAACTTGGTGGTGGTGGTGTAGCTCGCCCAGAGGAAGAACTTCTCTGCAACCACACCAGCAAAGTAACATAGACTCCTCAAACTAAATACCTTCTGAATTAATTGTAACTATTTCCTTGCCACAGTCTCCTACGTTATACACATTTCTCCACACCATTCTCTTACATTATTCCTATTTCCCGGCACTGGACTACTACTTTTTAGATATTCCCTGGCACTACACTCGCTCATCACTATCGTGCACCAGGAATACAAAGAACTTCTTAATGACCCAAGGATAACTTGGAGTCTAGTATTGAGGACTCGTCCTAAAAACTATATCAAATGAAAATATTTATGAACTAATCAAAGAGCTCAAAAACTGTAAACAAATTGTAATGAATAATTTGTACAGACATGGTTCACAGCAAAATACTCGCGTGAAGTCAGTTCTTCCCGAATGTATCATGATGGAACTCATAGAGTTGCATCCAACAAATGAAATACACGATGGAAAAAATGAATGTGACTGTTTACATCATTACAGCGCAGACCGGCAGGAGGGGAGGAAAATGAGAGGACTAAAAGTAGACCTCAGCAACTCCTTCATAGGAAGGACGTTGGACTTTAGTTCGATCAATAATTACATTGTAAAGGATGTGTGACTTCACATTGAACAACTCGGCCTTTACGTAGCCATAGTCTATAGACCACCAGCTTATCCATTGTTTATGCTCAACGAGACACTTAAGGTGATATATATAATACCTATACCAAGGTTGCTCAACTGGAAGACTCTTGTTTCTATTCAGTGATGGGGACTTCAATCTCCCTCATATCCGTTGGAAATTGTTGACTTCGATAGAAGTCAGAAAAATAAACTTGTGCAGTTTGCTGGCAAGTACCTATTTGTCAATATATACGCATTCCCACAAGGGTACACAATATCCTTGACTTGTTTTTCCCAAGCAATGAAGAACTGATTCCTGATCTTAGAGTTGAGAAGCCATTTTGTCAGACCATCATCTGGCGTTGGTAGAGACGACAATTGGAATTGGGAACCAGTCCTGACCTACACCTCAACGCGTCTGGCTGGGTTAAATATCCACCATTGAAGAACGGCTTGAGAAGCTATTAAGAATCAACTCTACGAAGTTGAGTGGAGATCCAAGTTCCATGAGTTATGGATGGCGGCTTCCTACAGGGAAATAGAGAGGCAGAGGTTGGTGCGTCAATGCAAGAAAATTAAGATAAGCTGCAGGAGGCCTCATACGAGTCTGAAAAGAGGACAGCAGAGGAGCGAGTGGTGCGTGCCATGCACTAGAGAGAACCCAAAATATTTCTATAAGTATGCCCAGCCATAAGCCAAAAACGGCCACAGTGGTCCCACTGAAAAACAATTATGCTGAGTGACGAAGACCATGGCAAGTACCAACTGCAAATAGCGCAGTTCGAAAGAGTGTTCAGATATCCTCTATAATTAATGGATTCTCTAGACGGTCAATCATTTTTGTCAAAATTTTGAGTCATTCGATTAACTCAAGCGGGATTGACCGTGTATGAACCAGTTATATAGACGCATATAGCGAGGCTCTATGGGCATTGATACAGAGTTTTTAATGAAATTGATTGATCAAAATATATGCTTATTTTTCGGAAGAGGAAGGCCAAACTCGTATAAGAAGCTATTGCTCACCACCAAAATCAACAAAACAGCTCAAAAAGCAAACAATAATGAACGAACAAGTATACATTGATCCCAATTCTAATGGGAAGGAAGTTTTGATCAGAAGATTGAAGGCCTCACTGCAGACGTTGCCTGAAACGCGGGTCAAGGCAAGTGGCTCAATCGTTTGATCAATCCGATTGAAATTTTAGGTCCTCCTTCACACAAGAAAATGAGATTTAAGTAGCTGCTGCAGAAACTTCCAGTAGGATGTGTGTTGATAAATAATTGAGGTTGAAACACCGCGCTTTGAAAGATGTATCGATGAACTATCGACTTCTTTCGCTTCTAGACTGGAAAGAGTCCATGCGGTGTGTCGGAACACTGAACTGTATCACTGACTTTAATCAAGAAAGTACAGTATAAGGACGGAAAGCCGAAACTTTCTTATTTATCTCAATGTGGGGCTGATAAATCCTATCCACAAGAGGAATACAGGAGACAAAATCCAAAATCAAAGGACGGGGACATAAACATCGCATGTAATCAATGTGTTTGAAAAAGTCGTTGTCAGGAGGCTGATACAGTATATGGAGGAAGCTGGCTTTTTCAATAGACGACAACTCCGTTTCAAACAAAATCGCTTTTGCTTGTCCCATTACGGGAGCATCATCATCAAATTCTGGCCAAACTGGCGGAGAGGACCGGCGTGAACGTGGTGAACTTGGAATTTGCAAAAAGCCTGTAATTGCCATTGTGTGTTCTGAAAACTAAAACCACTGGGAATCGAAGAGAATCTTTGGAAATGATCTCCAACTCTCTAACCGACAGATTACGAGCTGACGTTGTTGAAAGCTCATTATCAGACGAGGCTTGGGCGAAAAGAGGGGTGCCACAGGAAATGGTGATTGATCCGATCCTCTTCCTCATTTACATCGCTGACATAGATGTGGAGCGGTGGAAGTGATCTACGCATCGAAATCGTCATTTTAGTACGACACCACAGTGCTGATGACGATTATGATTATAGACGAAGTGGTTTGCGAGAGGCTGCGAGAAGACGTATATGACTGGGCCCAAATGAGAAACATGAAGTCAATGGGACCAAGTTTGAGGTTCTGAGATATTGAGCAAAAAAAAGTCGGGGTATAGCACAATAATCTTACACCGGCGGCATAGAAGTTTACGAAAATCAATTCGTTTGCTACCTTGGACAGGAAACAGATAGAGAGGATCTTGATAACGTTCTGAACAATAGAAGCGGAACCGATGATCACACCATTAAGAGCAGTTGTGATTCCTCTAATTGAGTACTGCTGCGAGCTATGGACTCCATTCACGGTCGCTGCAGTACGGCATAGGAATCAACTTAGTATACCCTCACGTCTAGGATCAGCAGGATGAGAAAGCTGAACGTCTTGTTTGAAAAGGTTATAGCGTCTAGGTCTGTGCTTCTGCAGAAGAGACTGAGGAGTTATTCTATTTTGTACGTAAGGAAAATAAGAAACGGACTAGCCCCAAACTTTGAAAGTGAGTCCTTCAAAGTAGTGACATAACATTGCGAGAGAAGAGGAAGTTGTGCAGGATAACAGAGCTGCTGTCAAATTTCAATCTCTACTATAGGAGGAATCTTTTCTATGGGTGAAACCGAGACTGCTTAACGCCTTTTCGCTGGAGAGGGATTTCACCCTGGAGACCTTCAAGAGACGACTAGAATTATTCCTGGGCACAATCCCTGATCTTCCGTCGTTGCACCGCTACCGGCGACAAGAAGCTAGCAATACCATTGTACACCAGCTGCCCCAACTGGGATAGATCCACTGGAGTTGTTTCACTGGCCTTCAGGACCACGGCAGTGATGACGACATGCCTAGCAGGGCCGAAATACTAAGGCGACGCATGGGACTGCAGAAACGTAAGCGTCAGAAACGCTAACCAAGAATATAAGAGTTTTGACTCGTGCATACATATGAGTGATGAATAACGCACCTCGTCCTAAGCAATTCATATATTTACGTTACTCACTTCTTTGCTCAGCCTTCTGCTCCTCATCTTGCCCCGCGAGCCTGTCATGCTCCCCCAACTTCGCGAGGGTTGGATTTCCTTGCTCTTTCTCGCCTGCCTGTTGGGTCGCGTCCGGGGAAGTTTGGGGTTCCTCTTCCCCCAAGCCGACAGATTTTTCTAGTGCTGCACTTGAGGAGGCCTTTATTTCCTCTTCTACGATGGATTTTGCTGGGGGTTCCCCTCCATCCCCTTCGGGGTAATTCTCTGGCACCGCACTTGAGGAAGCCCACGATTCCCTCACTTCGATTGGTTTCGCTGAAGACACAACAATGGAGGTTCGTGGTTCCCCTTCTTCTCCACCAGGGGATTTCTCCGGCACCGCACTTGGGGAGATATGTTGCTCCCCCACCTCGGAGAACTTTTCCTGAGGCTCATCAGCGGAGGTTTGCGGTACATTTGCCCTCACATCGGCTCCCTCATCCGGGGGTTGGGGGGTGGCGGTGGTGCTGGCCAATAGGAGGGCCGCCAGCAAAACGGCGCTACTCAAATTCACCTGAAACGTGTGTATTTTAGTTAAAACGCGTATACTTCAGTAAACAACGTGCGTTGTTTAGTTATTACACGTTAATCTGGTTATAAATCACGATTGGGAATCTGAAATGCAATTTTATCAATGTGATGCCCTTTTTCAAATAATTCGATGTAGTTTACAAAGCTCTAGTGTTAAATGGGGTTTTACAGCAAGCCAATTGAATAGAACTCAAGATGAGAATTTAAATAAGGTCTTACAGCAAGCCAATTAAATATGATCTTAAAGTAAGCCAATTAACAGGTCTCAGGGTTAACCAATGAAATTAGAATTTAATGAAATCTCATAATCATCATCACACGATGGACAACTTTTAAATGCTGATTAATGAGGATAAACTCCAAATTAGGAGTAAACTTTAGAATTATTCTTTTAAATAAAGTGATTAATTTACATCATGAATCTTGAAACTTGGTCTCCACTGTAATTAATGGTAACTTTATCATGAACAATCTTCTTCGTTGAATTATGCAAGTTTGTTTGCTCCAACTGGGAATTTTTTTGCTTTAACCGTGAAAAAGAATTTGTTTAGCCCATTGATACGGCAGTCATGAAGCGTCGTTCAAAACTACGTGACGAATTTAAATGAGTTTGCAGAAAAATGCAAGTAAATGGCTGTCGGGTACATAATCAACACGTACCTCAAAAAGACATTAGCGACAGTGGACAGTTGTGGCAAATACAAGTGTAATTTACTTCTACGAAAATATTTACTTGAACAATTTACTTACAGCTTTTTGGTAATATATTTTATCTATTTAAATATTTAATACTGGATGAATTGAAACGCATCTAGTCGTCTCTTGAAGGTCACTAAGGGAACTCCCTCCTCACCACTCAACTCCACCGGCATTTGAACAGCCTCAGGACTCTCACGGAAAGTGATCCTGCGCAAAGAGTTTAAACGCTTGCCCCTTGTTCGTTCGATTGGTGTATCCAGCACACTGCTCCGTCTTCCCTTTCTCTGATTTTGACAGATCTAACTCCTCTAGAAACTCTTTTTTCCATTAATGCAAGCAGTTGATATTGTTATCATCTCCCAAGCGCACAGGATGACACACCGCTTTCATCTCTTTATAATTGAGTACTGCCACCAGGTGTTTCAACCTGTTTCAGTAGCGAGTAGCGCACGTTCCTCATCCCGCTGGTCCTGGACGTATAGGTCCGTTGGACTGCCTAAAATTGCCGTACCGCGCCCGCCATGGGCGGCGCTCAAAGCTGGCAACAGTTCTCCAGAATGGGGAGCAAGAAGGTTCTGATGAGTAACCATTGACTTCGCATCTCTTGTTAGGAATGTCCGCTTGACCCACCTCATCAGTCGTCTGCCTTTTGCCACTATTACCACGACGTGATCATCAAACGTGGCTTGGCTTCCGTCTTCATTTAACACTTCATCAGATCACGGACAAATTGCTTCTCTTCAATTTCTGTGCCATCCAAATACAGGTAGTGGTAATGACTGCAGAAATGTCGGAGTGGGGTGATAACCGAAGAACTGTCGGTGTGGGGTGATGCCCGCAGATGAGTGACAAGTATTGCTGTGACTTCCCACAAACGATGTATGTATGAGGTATGTATTTCCGCATGACAGACGCAATACGGTGATCTTCCAGCAACAGTTCTGCGCACATCAAGCGAGGTGTTCTAGACTGCACATTTGTTTCTTCATACAACGCACGCAATTGATATTTCTTCGCAAATTTCCTGTACCTTTTTGCCAGCAAGCAGCTACTTCAAGCACTCTTGGTTAGTTACGAGTGTTTGGGCAGCATATACAGAGACTGAAATTCAGACTATGATGTCTGAAGAAGACTATGGATGTTCCTTGACCTAGAGTCCTATAGGCGGTATATTTCGATATGTTTTAAAATCTGAATTTTCTTCTTAAAACTTATTCGTGCTGTCTAGAGGGTATTTTTAGGGAATTACAGCGCGAGCGTCTTCAAAAATTTTCTAGAAGTACTTTTGGATGCCGGAGTAGTTAGTAGTTCGCTAAAGAATAAATTATAATCGTTTAATTTTTTCAACTCAAATTGTCTTGCCACGTTTAATTTCTTTGACTAATTCCAAAGCAAGGGACTGCTATATTTAATGAATTCAGACGAATAAGAACCTAAATTATTTCGATAGTTCTAAATAAAAATTTACTTAATTCAAATCTGCACGGCCGGTCTGGAAAAGCGCTGCCACTCACCTTCATTCCTGCACCTCGTACGTCGGTGTGCGTATGACGACCATGCAACGTCGTCATTTATGAACGTGTTATAGTTTTTGCGACCGCTACTATCCTCATGTTTTTCCCTGCTAAAAAACCATTCCTTTCCTTGATTAATTTAGTTCTTTCCTGAGCATCTCCACGTCTCACATTCTGACTCAAGTTTTTCTTTTCTAGTCGAACACTTAATCCCATACTTTGATATATTTATTATTTCAAGAACACTACTGGGAAGTGTAAAACATTAAGAAGTTTCACAAACCTCAACGACACACGAGTCGCCACGACGTAAATGCTGCACTTGACTCGCCGCTCGTATATACGAACAGCCTATAATATTGGTCAAAACCACAATTTGTATTGTTTGATTTCGAAATTAAAATTTTAAAGCTGCTTGGATCTTAATCGGAATTTGTCCTTACATTATTTATATAAAAATAGTGGAGGCTGGCGACATAAGTTCTGTAGCAACTTACGTGTCGTTAATAATTGAGTATCTGACCTGGTTTTATTTAATTAAAGTACCTAGTTAATTTTGCACTTGAGTTCACATGTTCATTAATCGCTTGAAAATAATTGCAAATATTTCTTGAAAATATGCATAATGCTGAAACATTCGAATATTTTGAATAAATACAAATATTTTTAAGCCGTCGCAGCATATTTGGTTTAATAAAGAATTTGTCGAAACAGAATTTATCGCCCTGAAGGCGATAAATTCTGGCCGTATTGCCAAACTCGCTTATAGGTGCACGTATAGCAACAGATTTCTTGTCTGCTATTGGTGGGTTCAGCTTGAAAAGCCGTAATTGGTTGGCTGTAAGAGTTACGAACTAAAAGTTATTTTTGGTAGTAAGATCACAGGTGTTGACTGTATAGGGGTAAGGGATTTATCTTTACTAACTGAATGTACTAATAGTGAATATATTTATGGCTGATTTGCGCTATTTGTCAGGTAGTTGTTAGCTAGAACACAATTATGGTGTCTAAGACTTATGAACTCTTCGGTGTAGCCAGCGCCTTCTAGGAGGCCAAAAGCTTAATTATGAACGAATAAACTTCCTTCATGAAACCTCCATGCGACACCTGAATGCGAGATTAGTAAGACTATGTCCAAATAGCAATGCACTATTTAGATTTTAGCTTAATGTGGGCCGTCTTCGCCCAGTCAGTGAGAAAGTGTGTCACTGCTTGCAGAATATTACCTATTCTTTTATCTGAGTGAAAACTGGATCCGGCAAAAAGACGTATTATTGCTATACCAACTCTCTGCAAGTCCTATGGGTGACAGAGTAACAATGGACAATATGACAATATGACCCATTGGACAATATGACCCATTTCCTTTTCTGAATGGGATCTGAAGTCGCGAGTGAATGCCGAAGGAAGAGAAATGTCAGATTTACGAACGATTTAACGATTTTACCAGCACACTTCCTGCTCCAATCAGGCGCTGGGCACCGGCTACATGGCCGTCTGAGTCGACGGCCGGAATCGACCGTGTACCTAAGCCGGGATAGAGAACGCAATTAACCGTAAGACCGACGCTGTAATGACGGAAGCCGTAACGCCCATGTCTTAATTAGCGTCTGATAGAAGGTTTTAAGTGGTCCGTCTTTAGCGGACTACTCAATGGCAAACTGGAAGAAACTCTTGACGAATTTCGAAATGTTGCTACTTCACGCGCGAGCTGAACTTTTCGATGGTGTAGAGTAGACTGTAGACCGTGAAGCAGAGTTTTGTACCTAACAGTTTATCCTAGAATTTTGTTCTACTCTCCTGTTATGCTCTCTTTAGTTCTTTTAATACACGCGACTAAATTATACTTCTCCTCCCAGAGAGTGAACTACGCTTTCCAGTACAGCAAATCGCGGTAAATTTCAGGATCTGAAGTGTATTAAAATGACTGAGAAATGTGCGTCGGGACGGTAGAATGAGAAACACAGTCGTGAGGTAGTGGACATGTACGACAGGGCGGGTGAGGCACAGAGGTGTGGTAGTAGCATGTGCGTCGGGACCGGAGAATAGGAAGCAAACATGTATGTTGGTAGACATGTACGTTTATTACGTGGGTCAAATGTGTGCTATGTACAAATTGTGCTACAACGGACAGGGCAAGCGGCACACATGGAGTACTTCTTCGTGGATGACCCAACGAGAACCGGTGCAGTACAATGTGCAGTGTGCACTGTACATCTTGCGATGTTCTCCCGTATCATGTACGCTTGTGCGCTGTACGCCTGAGCGCTGTCCACCGACTCATCAACAGAGCTTGGGCACCGGGAAGCCGCTCGGCATGCACATGGCGGAGATAGAGGCTGTCACGGAGAAGTTGGTGACAGTTTTAGTTTTGGTGACCGTCGTGTAAGCGACGTTCCAGACCGTGAAGAACTTCCTCCCTGATCGTCCCGACCCGCTTTTTTCGCCCATCTCTTCGGATTTTTTGTCGTATTCTTCGTCGGCATTTGCTATTGCTGCGCCAAGAAGGGGATCACTGATGTCACTGATGGCGCCATTCAGTGACGAGTCGATTTGTGTAAACTTCGACGTCGTAGGGGCTGAGACGACGATGTCTTGCTGTGCACGTCGCCTGCGACGTCTTTTCCTACCCATGCACGTCACTGCATTGACAACTGCAGGGTTCGTAAAATAGAATTAGCAACAATCACCTTGAATAATAGTGACAAAACAATACTGTCTAACATTACTTGCCTGCCGTGGACGATCTGCAAACATTCATGCTGCTAAACCGGCACTTTGGGGTTTACCAGTTCGATGGAGGAATGACGGATCTGACAGCCACATGGGGAGGAGGAATGCACCTCATGAATATGTCTAGAATTTTTTGAGGAGATTAATATTTCTGTATGCAGATCGTGAGAGTATAGACTGAGTATTCGAATTGAATATAGGAGTGGGGTGTAAAATTGGGTGTGGGCTGTGCTTGGTATTATTGTTTTTAGCATACCTATGGAGATGCCAACAATTATTGCAGCCCACACCACCACACTGCACGCACCACTCTTACAACACGCACCACGCTCATGCACAACTCCCGCTTTGCATGAACCACACGGACCACACACACGTAGAACATTAGAGCCCTTAAGAAGGTATTGAATGGGGTGGTCCACGACCATGCTGCTGCTCCGCCTTCGTCATCCACCGTTCCCCTGCTACTGATGCAGTCCATATCTACTGTGGATCTGACCTTAGTTGAGCACGCTGATGCATTTAGTTGGCCAGTTGATGCCTTGATGGTTTGGGTCAGCTGAGGCCCATAGTTTAGCAAGCTGGTCCCGTCAGTTGATCAAGCTGCTCGATACTTTCAGTTGGGCCAACTGATGCACGATGCTATTGTACTGGGGTGCATACTGTACACAGTTCTGTACATGGGGTTAAGGCAGTACTGAGGTTAAGGCAGAATATCCAGAATTGTTAAAATAAAAATAAAAATAAACGTTCAGTTGTTCCATGAAGGTCTCAGGAGTGAAATTTTCCCCTCACAACTCGATTGTCAAGGCCTTCTATAGCCTTGACTCTGCCGCGTAATACGATCCTTCCCGAACTGATTGAAATCTGGTCGCAGGCCTGTTGCCTATATGGGGTTATCCGACTCAATATCTCTCTTCTCTTCCTGGGATTTGCAGATCTCATTCATAGAGTTAGAGGCCAGTCCGGTTATCATCATCAGCGTTCAGTATGATATGCCTCTCTCTTCTCCAGTGAGTACAGTTTCAGGTGATCCAACCTAACTCAGCTATAGTCCAGGGGCAATACTTTCAAAACTCGCTAAGTGAACGTAAGTACTTACGCTCTATTTTCTTGTCTATGATTGGTGGATTTTGCTTGAAAGGCCTCCACCCTCCCCCTTTTATGATCTGTAGTGAACGCATGAATCAACGTACCGAGATGGTAATGGTACCGTTGGGTAGCTGAGAATGTCAGCTTTAAGATGAGACTAAACGGATAACTGAAGCGCAGCGCCAGCAGACACTCTATTTAAAAAACTAGGGAGCTAATTAGAGTAATTACCGTCTATGCTATTTGTTAAAGAACTCCACAACCCTCCCCCCTTTCACGACCTATCGTGAATTCATAAATCAGCGTACAGAGATGGTAATGGTACCGTTGGATAGGGCAGAATGTCAGCTTTAAGATGAGATTAAAAACCGGAAAAGCCAAAATCCGAAAATTTTAGGGTAAACCCTAGCCCCCCCTCCCTTAACAGTCCTCAGCACCCTCGTGTAGTCCGCAAATGACGATGTCAAGGCTCACATCCACGTCTATGTCGGTGATGAGGATGAGCAAGAGAATCGGCACTTTTATACGCCCATTAGAATCATACGCGCCTATAACATATAACGCATACCTAAGCTCCTCACCTTTTCACCAAATACATAAGAAAAACACGTGTAAGGCACGACACTCACATGAGAAGCACGTGTGGGGCACGACACTCACATGAGAAGCACGTGTAGGGCACGACACTCACATGAGAAGCACGTGTAGGGCACGACACTCACATGAGAAGCACGTGTAGGGCACGGTGGCGGTTGAGAAGGAGATACGTAGCTCGGTGCTCGTTGCGTAGTTGGCCAGGAAAAGACGCTCGTCTGCTCACACAACACAAATTCCTGCTACTGAATAGGTCTGTATTTTAATGCAAGCTCTTGTATTCAGCTACAAAGCAACGAAATTCATCAAAACGAAATCATTTATCTTAACAAAACCATTTATCTTAACAAAACCATATATCTTTCCAAAACCATTTATCTTAACAAATCCATTAATCTAAAGCAATTAATTGCTCTAAATCAAAAAATCTGCCTAAATTGAATTAAATCACCATGTGGAATGTAATTAAACTGTCGTAATATAGAATGAATACTTGGTAGCACGTATAAGTAGGGCGAGCGTTCGAGCTCTAAGGAATATTATCGATTTCTTCATGAAGTTTTTCGTGCAGCGCTAACGAACCTCTGTCGGAGAACTTGTTGCGTCTCGTCTTCTCAGCGCCCTTAGGAACGGCTGCAACATCTGCAGCAACATCTGCGTCATCTGCTGGAACTTCTGCGTCATCTGCATTTACTGCTACAACATCTGCAGTAACTGCTGCAGCATCTGCAGTAACTGCTGTGACGCCTGCAGGAACTGCTGTCGTGTTTGCAGTGCTTGTCATTGAGTCTTTAGCGTCTGCAGCAAATTCTGTAATATTTGCAGACGCCACTGACGAGTTTGTAGACTCTGCAACATTCGCTGCAGCGAGCTGCATCAGCTGCAGGGCCAGCAGCAGCTGCAGCGTTCGTCGTCCTATTGAATCAACGTACATCTGCACATAAAGCATGTGTTGCATCAAACTGGAAAAATTACTATATTATTACTTCGTACAACTAGAGGCGTGTTTAATAGTTTTTAAATTGCGCCGCAGCGCTGCGGCCGCTGTTTAGCACCAACAGATACATCTGTTGGGAAGCCACAGGCGCCATACGGAACCATCCGATCGAGTCTATATCTGTTTACGTGATCTTAAAATGCATCTACAAATTCAGATTTCCACCGAATGCGAAGTGCGTGCGGTAATGTTATTTCTCTGTGCAAAAGACTTCAAATCAGTTGACTATCGCAAAAGCAGTGAGGTGTATGTTGACAACATCAGTGATAGTTTGGGGCGAAAATGGGTTTGGGCCGTCAGAGACGGCCGTACAAACATTCATGATGAAGAACGGAGTGGGAGACCTCCATTCATTACCAATGATCTGATTCAATAAATGCGCTGTGAAGTGAAGGAGAACAGACAATTCACGATATCGTCCTTAGCTTAGCACTTGAAGAAGCTGCCGGCGGATAGCGCCATACCGATGATGAATTGAAAACGACTGTGAAGCATTGGTTGTCTAATCAAGCGGCCAGCTTCTTTGACGGTGGCATACAAAAACTGGTCCCAAGATACAATAAAGGCCTCAATATTTTTGGCAATTATGTAGAAAAGTAGTGTAAAGTATGACCTTTCAAGTGCCGTAATTATTTTTGGGAAAAATTACTTGTTGTGGTAATCATTTCAAGTCAAAACTGTACTCACTTTAAAAACACGCCTCCTCGTATAACTTCGCGCACCATTATTTCGTTCAATATAATATCGTAGCAGGTTTACTTTGTAGAGTATTATCTCTTACAGCATAATTTCGAAACAGTTTCGTTTTGCGCCTTCAATGTGCGGTCTTTGCCTTAATTAAATGTTCAGAGGCTGAGGAACGTCCCTAGTGATCCCGGGTTGAGACCTAACCGGTGATGTCATCAGCATGCACCATCCCGCATGAATAGTGATGTTGGTCACCGCCATCACCATGCACTATCCCGCATGAATAGTGATGTTGGCCACCGTCATCACAGCGCACCATCACGTATGAATAGTGATGTTAGCCACCGTCATCACCATGCACTTTCGTCGTCCTATTGAATCAACGTACATCTGCACATAAAGCATGTGTTGCATCGAACTGGAAACATTACTATAAAATTACTTCGTACAATTAGAGGCGTGTTTTAAAAGTTTTTAAATTACGCCACGCAGCGCTGCGGCCGAGGTTTTGCACCAACTGATACATCTGTTGGGAAGGCACAAGCGCCATACGGAACCATCCGATCGCGTCTACATCGGTCTACGTGATCTTAAAATGCATCTACAAATTAAGATTCCCACCTAATGCAAATGCGTGCTGTAATACTGTTTCTCTATGCTCAAGGCTTCAGACTTAAAATGCCAAGCACCATATCGAACCCGGTGGAAGTCTAGTAAATATTTCAAACTATCGACAGTTTGGAAAAGATCCGGTAGACTGACCTTTTTTTAGACCTGCTATAGACAATTCACGTAAAGTACACGAATCGGCGACAAGCCACATCAGGCCTATTTTTCAGCGCCGACTTCACTTTGCTATGCTAATTCAGTTGACTATCGCACAAGCAGTGAGGCGTATGTTGTAAACATTAGTGATAGTCATCATAAATGGCCGCACAACCATTCATGATGAGCAACAGAGTGGGAGATCTTCAGTCATCACCAATGATCTGATTCAATAAATGGTGAAGAATAACAGACGATAGAAGTGAAGGAGAACAGACGATTGAAGTGAAGGAGAACAGACGATAAAAGTGAAGGAGAACAGACGACTGAAGGGAAGGAGAACAGACGATTGAAGTGAAGGAGAACAGACGATTGAAGTGAAGGAGAATAGACGATTAAAGTGAAGGAGAACAGACGATTGAGGTGAAGGAGAACAGACAATTGAAGTGAAGGAGAATAGACGATTGAAGTGAAGGAGAACAGACGATTCACGATATCGTCCTTATAGCTTAGCACTTGAAGAAGCTGCCGGCGGGGCAGCGGCACACCAATGATGACGACGTGAAAAAGACTGTGAAGCTTTGGTTGTCTAACCAAGCGGCAAGCTTCTTTGACGGTGGCATACAAAAGCTGGTCCCAAGATACAATAAATGCCTCAATATTCTTGGCAATTATGTAGAAAAGTAGTGTAAAGTATGGCCTTCCAAGTGCAGTAATTAATTTTGGAAAAAAATACTTGTCGTGGGAATCATTTCAAGGCAAAACGGTACTTACTTTAAAAACACGCCTCGTATTACTTCGTACAGCATTATTTCGTACAATATCATATCGTGACAGATTTACTTCGTAGAATATTATTTATTACAGCATAATTTCGAAACAGTTTCGTTTTGCGCCTTCAATGTGCGGTCCTTGTCCTTGAATGTTGAGCCTCGAATGTTCAGAGGCTGAGAAACGTGCCTATATAGTGACCCCGGGCAGAGACCCAATCAGTGATGTTGGTCACCGTCATCACAGTGCACCATCCCGCATGAATAGTGATGTTGGTCATCGTCATCACCATGCACCATCCCGCATGATTAGTGATGTTGGCCACTGTCATCACAGCGCACCATCTCGTATCATCGTATGAATAGTGATGTCAGTTATCGTAAGTGTAGCGAGACACGGATGAATGCAGCCAACTCCCTCAAATTGGGTTTGGCAACAAAAATTTGAATTTTCACATTGGACTTAACAATATAAAAATACGCCCACTAATCATAAATAAATACATCCTGTGTATCTCACCAGCTTATCTAATTGGGCCTGGCAATAAAAATTAAGTCCTCATATTGGGTTTGACAATAAAAACTTTCGTCCTCAAATTGGGCCAGGCCATATAAATTGCGTTTCCAAATTGGGCTCAGCAATAAAAAAATAAGTCCTCAAATAGGGCCGGGCATTAAATAAATATGTCCTCAAAATGGGTTGGCAAAAAATGTACGCTGACAAGTTAGGTTAGGTAAGAACAATTGGTTTTTGAGCTTTTTCTTCTTTAGCGGTTTCCTTTTGTTTTCATTACAGTTTTCAGTGCGAGGAGCTTCTCTTCTTTATCTTGCCCATTTACTTCAGTTATATTGGCTAAAATACTTCAATTATATTGACAAAAAATACAAGTAAGCATTCCCTCGTACTTCATATTTATGATGAAAATTCTATTAGCTGGACATTGCGCTCCCGCTCATATGCTAGAATTTTGAAAACCCTTGCTGAATTCACGGCGATGTGGACATTTTTCGTACTGAAGTCTGCATCAAGTCAATACAAGCAACTAACTATAAGACAGCGCTGAAAGAAGCGCTTCACTTACCTTCGCCAGCTGTGTGGAAGCAGCAGCTGCAGGCTGCTGGTATATGTAGCGCATTTACCAACTTTCCTCAAGTGTAACACAGGTGTAATTACCAAAAATAATACGTGCATTTGGTGTAGAAAAGTCGAGGCGTTTCAGCGCCCGTTTTCCTTCTGATGCAGCGGTTAACAGCTGCCTTCGACTACTACATACGTGGGGTATGGGAGACTTGAATGATTATTGCTGCATAGGGACCATGGATATTATATTTGTTTTGTCAATCTGAAATTCCTAATCATGACGTCAAGCTCAACGAAGAACGTTACTTCAGGCGACCGATGAAGTAACAGTAGGTCAGTAAATTAGAATCTTCTACTTGTACTCGTGAGGAGGCGTCTCTTGATTACAGTGTGTCCTCAGTATTTCAAATTTGTACTAAGATCCAGTGTATGCAAGGCCAGAGTATCTCACAATTTTAAATATATTCAACGTATCTCATCAGCTTGTGTAATCATTGTCATTTTAAGGTTAAAGAAGATACTGTCACTGAGACTCTACATTTAAATTTTATAAAGTACAATTAAAATCTTTAGAGAGCCATTAACATAATTTGTGGATTAAATAGCTTAATCAGACAATCACTAGGCTGCCAATGAATGTTCGTTAAAGGTAATAATTAAACATTTTCTAGGTTTCTTTCAACAACCGAAACAACAATAATTACTAGATAACAATGTATTCCTCAGTAATAACAAGAAAACTATGTACATAATAAGGCTGTTGTATGGGCGGCATAAGCGCCTGGGTTCAAATGCCGTCACGTGGCTGACGAGTGGCAGCTTCACCGTCCAAATGTGGCGCGATGTTTACCACCAACATCGTTTATTCGCGCAGGTGAGAAGATGTTTCATACTAAGCAAATTGACGGCCAATTACAGTCTAATAAAACCAAGTAGTCTAATTTGGAAGAGACTAAGTGGTGGAAAAATTTCAGGTCACACTTGTCTTCCTAAGGTCGCCGGTTACCGATGTGGTCCTGACCTGAAAACTCCGTGCCTTCCGAAGGAGTGAAACCTTCAAAAAGAAAGGCGTCTTCTGTTGGAGTGGCAACTCTTGAAAGGTTGGTCTCTTCCGGAGAAGTAGCATCTTCAGAAAGAGTGGAACCTTGAGAAATTTCATCCTCCGAAGGGGTAGTGGCACCTCTTCGAGGACGGCGACGGAACGAGGACTGGGAATTTAAATCCACAGCAGAAATGTCCTGGGTCCATTTATCATCAATTGGCTTCCAACCTACTGAGTCTAAATCGCTGGGAATAAAATTTGAGTTTCCTCGCTTCCTAAGATTGGCTTCTTTCGTCTCCTTGACGAACGATTTCGGGGAAGACGAACTTCTTGTTAACGGCTTCCAGTCTTCTGATCCCTCGAGCCTGAAGCCGAACTTTTCGGATTGGGAATTTTTTCTGTGATAAGTAGATTTTCGCTCCTTCTTCCATAATTTCTCCACGACCCGCTGGGCTGGACCGCGTACTGGAACAACCACTTCATTGCCCTTGGGATCCGTTGTTGGCAGAACTTTACCCATTTGCTTCTGTCTCCTCGGTTCAGGAGCTAAATGAGCCTCAGGATGGAGAGTCTGCTGGTCAGGGAGGGAGCCCAGGAAACTGATGGGTTCGTTGACCAGATCCCGTCCCATGGAGCGGATGAGGGCCATCATCTGGTCCCCCGAGAAGGGACAAGACGGGTATAGGACCCTACAGGACCTGTCTCGAAAACCCGTCCGCATCGCCTCCAAGTAGGGACGTCGGGAACTCGCCCAGGGGTCAGAAAGCGGTCCCAAAGAAGACTGTCTGTGGATGAGTTGAAAAAGCTTCGTTATTTTATTTTTTAGATGAGTACAAGAGAACCTGTTTACTATGTGTAATTTGTTATGTTGCGGGAGCCATCATTTTTGTCATAACGTTACCCACAAATGCATAATACATCTCGTCAACACTTGGCTCCTGAGAGCGGACGGGGGGATGCGTATGGTTTTAAAAAACCGCCAAGGCTTTCTATAGCTTTCTATTAAAGTCAAAGATTTTACAACCTTTATGCTTTTAAATAATCGGAGCTGTGTTGAAACTTTGGACACTTTAACCACTCTAAGTGCTATAAAAGTACTAACTTTGTTTGAGTAATTAATTCGAGATTATTCAAACAAATAATAGGTACAGGTGCAGTCCAACAAACAAACAGTCCATTACAGGTGCGGTCCAATGAACCAACGGTCTGTAACAGGTGCGGTCCAACGAACAAACGGTCTGTAACAGGTGCGGTCCAATGAACAAACGGTCTGTAACTGTTGGGGTACGCTGTGGGTGTTGCCTCACATTTACAGCTCTCAGCGTCAGGATGAGACACAGACTGACTCACTCCAGCAGAGTCTCATGCAAACTCTCATAATCTGACTCAGAATCGAACAGAATCAGCTGACTCTTAGAATAGAATCGAACAGAATCAGCTGACTCTTAGAATAGAATCGAACAGAATCAGCTGACTCTTAGAATAGAATCGAACAGAATCGAACAGAGAGCTGACTCTCTGATAAACCGGCTACAATTTACTGACTCTGGCAAACGTACTTTCCGCATAATCGCTTAGTCTCATTCTGACCCAGAAACTCCGACTCACTGAATAAGGCTGATGATGCTCTGCTCGTCACTGAGCAGCCCCATCTCTGCTCGCCTCGCCAGCTCGCACACGAGCCGCTGAGCGCACCCCGACTCGTCCGACTCAGACACGAGCGCGAAAGCTTCTTCTTCGCTCAGCGCGAACGCTTGTTGCTCTTCGCTCATCGGTTCTCCAGCTTCAGCTTTACGGCGAGCTGAGTCCTGATGGCCCTCAGCTCGAGTCTGCACATGATGAGGCCGGACTACACTCAAAAAAATAATATTTAGTTAATTGTCACGGGGTACATCCTGCAGTTCACCCACCTGGGAGTCACGGGGTACATCCCTCTTCTTGCGGTGGTAGTGGCTGCTGCTGCTGCTGCTCCCGTAACCCCCACCGTAGCCCCCGCTGTAACCCCCGCCGTAACCAGAGTATACGGGCACGTATTGGTGACCTGGACGTACGTACGACATGTGTTTTTACGGGCATTAACTTTTATTTTAAATAAATGAACTTTGTTACTAAAAATATTGAAGCTAGCGCCTGGGGGTGTAATCTTCAACAGAGCGGCAGTTAGCATGGAGCTCGTCGAGTTTTCCAGAAGTCAAAGTTGAAGTTGTTTTTGTTCGTTGAAGATAAAAAAAAATTCAAACCAATAAACTCTCACCAGCAAATTACAATGAGAAGGTTTCATTTTATTCCTTANGTTAATTATGTCAGCATTAGTTCAGTAGTTAGTTATGTTAACATTAGTTCAGTTGTTAGTTATGTCAACATTAGTTCAGTTGGTTAGTTATGGCAGCATTAGTTCAGTTGCTAGTTATGGCAGCATTAGTTCAGTTGCTAGTTATGTCAACATTAGTTCAGTTGGTTAGTTATGTCAACATTAGTTCAGTTGTTATTTATGGCTACATCAGTTCAGTTGGTTAGTTATGTCAACATTAGTTCAGTTGTTAGTTATGGCTACATTAGTTCACTTCGTTAGTTGTGTCAACATTAGTTCAGTTGGTTATGTATGGCAACATTGGTTCAGTTGGTTAGTAATGTCAACATTAGTTCCGTTGGTTATGTATGGCAACATTGGTTCAGTTAGTTTCACTAGTTTAGTGTCGTTCTCGTGTCAGTTTTGTGCCATTTATCACCAGTTTACTGGTATTTTAGTGTTAATTCAGAGTGACTCTTATAGAACGCCACCAAGTAGTGTTAGTACCAGTTCTTGGAATGGGTTTGTAACACTCACGCTAATTACCCACAACACACTAATTACCCACCACTCACTAGTCACTCACCACATGTCAGGTACTCACCATAAGCAGGATACTCACTATATGAGTTGTACTCTACAGGCTCCCTGTAATAGTGAAGCTTCTTGGCCAGCGCGAAGCCAGCGACCGCCGCCAGCTTCGCCACAATCGCCAGCACCCCGAGCTTGAGGGCTCCTGAGTGGCGAGGGGGGGAGTGGTGAGGGGGTGAGTGGCGTGAGTGGCTAGGAGGGGGAGGTGAGGAGGAGATAGGCGTGTGTGGCGAGGAGGGGAGTTGTGAGGGGGTGANTCATTTGCTACATGTCATAATGTTACATATCATCACTTGCTACATGTTATAATGTTACATATCATCACTTGCTACATGTCATAATGTTTCATATCATCACTTGCTACATGTCATAATGTTACATATCGTCATTTGCTACATGTCATAATGTTACATATCATCACTTGCTACATGTTATAATGTTACATATCATCACTTGCTACATGTCATAATGTTTCATATCATCACTTGCTACATGTCATAATGTTACATATCGTCATTTGCTACATGTCATAATGTTACAGACCATCACTTGCTACATGTCATATTTGTGAATGATATTCGTACTTGTTATATTATTTTAGTTACCGATGCATGAGTTCACATCGGCATAGTAAGTAATATGAGTATGAAGCCACCGTTTACGAACGCAATAATTATGACTTTTCATAGTAGATAGTGAAGTGAATTACATTCCATGGCAACTAACCAAAAATGAAAGCAAGAAATACAGAAAAAGTAGTTGAAAAGCACAGAAAATAAGTGGAATTTTTACTGTGAGTTTTAAAAATTTCCCGAAACTGTGTAAATGTAGTCAATGAGAGGATATAATTCTATAATATATATAATAATATTGTACAATAGCTGTCTATTTAGGTTTACATTTATCGACATTTAAGTTCAGATAAATGGGTGAGGACTTTGTCCAAATATCATTACAGTTTTTTTGCCCTTATGCGTGTCATCCTGACCCAGTTTGGTCCGGCAAAAAACAGTCTGCTCGAGCTGTGGGCAAGAAAGTGTGTCAATATTTTGACAGTATTACCCACTCATTTCTTTTAGTTTATAATTAAATTATTAATTATAATAGACATACCCAACACCCCGAGGCTGGCGAGGCCGGTACCCAGCGTGGTGGTGCCCAGGGTGAGGGTACCTAGGGTGCCCAGGGTGCCTAGGGTGCCGGTGGTACCGGTGGTGGTTGTGGTGGTGCCGGTGGTGGCGGTGGTACCCGTCGTGGTAGGACCTGTTATTGTTAAAGTCAGTTGTTAGTTCTAATGAATTACAAGATTAATTATCTTCTATTCAATGATTAATTCTCATAAATTGTAAGATTAATTATCTTCTATATATTTTACAAAGTATGCATTGTGTTGAAGGCTGGCAACGTAAATGTATAGGGGCTTTTTCCTAATGGAATTTCAATCTTAATTAGAGAATATGAATGGCTTGGAGGGAAGGGAGGAAAAGATTTGAACAAAAATGAATATTTAGTTGTGTAATTGGTAAATAAAAATTTGATTTAAGGGACGAAAGATAATTTGGTTCCTTATTGTGAATCGAGAATAAAATGTAACTCTTATCTTCTATGTAAACTGTGATTTTGAAGAAGTCTTTATCTCATTAGAATTCATATGCTTTATTATTATTAAAAATATTAGGGACAGCGGGATTAACGGAACTTGGGAGAAAGAAATAGCACGAATAGCTGTGTATAAGTACTTATGAATAAATATGTTAACAATTATGTTATGAACGATAATTTAAATAATAAAGTTTTTAGCGTCAAAAAGAGCTTCATTCCCTAATATGCGTTTTTTTCTTCTGAGAACATCTTACATAGATTAATGATTCTTTTCTGAGGTCGGAGAAATTGTTATAGGTTTTAATATTCCTCAAAGATACGTCAACGTATTAAGAGCGTGTTTACATGCATATCATAGTAAATGTAGAACATATTAAACGGAGATCATAGTAAACTGAGTTCGTATAGTACATATCGGTAGAGAAGAATTAACCCTAACAACATTCGGAGACCGCCAATGGTTCGTCCGGGTAGTCGCTACATCCGGTGCAAGTTCATTCAGGGTATAGTAGTATAGTATAGTATCTTCGGCATTTAAAGAATAGGCCTAGATAGGCCTGTCGCCGATTATTGTACTTTTCTTGACTAGACTGGCCTGTTGATCAGATCTTTTATGCCAGGTATGCCAGGCCACCTGATCGAAAGTAGCTTCTGAGAAGAAAAAGACTCATACGTACTCCCTTTCTGACTTTATATAGTCGCCTGAGAGTATGACAAGAGTTGGCCGAGCCGAGTCATATAGTGCTTGTAATATTAAACTGCTCAGAGGCTGCCCTTCACAGATGAGAAGCTGATTTACGTTCTCCCCGACTCCTGAGGACACTTATCACGACGATAAGTCGTTCTCCCCGACTCCTGAGTCGGACACTCATCTAACTTTGTTAGGGGAGGAAGCTGCATGTTCATGATACGCAATGCAACAGTATCACGGGATGCCACCGTATTTACTCGCAGTGCATGAAATTGACGTATAATGAGTACAATGGTTTCTCAGTACCATGACTCGCCCAGTATAACATCGTACCCATTACGCACCCAATACCAAGACTCACCTAGTATAATGAACGGCTGCCCACTATGCGCCTGCAGCAGTAAGCCCACAACAGGCAGCAGCAGCAGCAACGGACGCACCAACATTGCAATTTTTCTTAAAAACTGAAATTTGCCGTCGACTTTTCAAAGCTCCTTAAAATTTTTTCGTTACCAACTTAAAACACAAAAATTGAAATTCTGAATTTCAGACCATGAAGATCGAAAATACGGACTCAAAGACCACGATCCAAAATTGTAAATTGTTCAAATTAAGAAATAAAGAATTAAAAACACATTTTAAAAAATCGAATTAAAAACAGTACTCGGTCGCTAACCACACTCGGGGTACAGGAAGCAACCTGCGGACCGGACGCTATCACCCAAAGAGTGTGGCGCGCCGGTCCGCAGTTCTTATATAGCGAGCAACATCCGTAATTCCCGTGAAATTCTGAGCGAAAAAAAAAACTGAGTTAAGAGGCGGGTTCGAACCCGTGACGACATCGCGACGCGCGCTCGCCGCTATTATTTAGAGGCGGCGCGTCACGGGTTCGAATACCCGAGCACATCTGCTTTTTTTACGCCGTAGCTTTTACTTTTTTCCAGTCGCATTGGGCGCGAGTAGCATCATTATGGATTGTTTTTGACCGGAGAAACTGCAAAAAAGTTTTCACTTAAGCTGATAAGAACGCGAACAATATTTCAGACACTACTTTCGAGTGAATATTGAACGATCCTATTTTTATTAGGCCTTAACTGCACACAAGCATGCAACCCTTCACCATTCAACCCTTCACCGTTCAATCCTTCATCATTCAACCCTTCACCGTTCAACCCTTCATCGTTCAACCCTTCACCGTTCAACCTTTCACCGTTCAACCCTTCACCGTTCACCCCTTCACCATTCAACCCTTTCAACCCTTCACCATTCAACCCTTCACCGTTCAACCCTTCACCGTTCAACCCTTCACTGTTCAGCCCTTCACCGTTCAACCCTTCACCGTTCAACCCTTCACCGTTCAACCATTCACCATTTAACCTTCACCATTCAACCTTTCACCATTCAACCATTCACCATTTAACCCTTCACCGTTCAACCCTTCACACTTCAACCCTTCACCGTCCAACCCTTCACAGTTCAACCCTTCATCGTTCAACTTTTCATCAGTTGCGCGCGACTAGTCGCACGTTGAAGCCAAGAAGTTTTTAAGCCCTTAGCTCATTTCAACCTCTAAATTAAATTATTTCTGTAACCATCTGAAATTATTAATTTCGACCACATCTGAAACATACAACTCCACGTCCACTCACCACCCAATTCATACAGGTACACAGGAATGTGTTGACGCTGTGTACTCTCGACTGCAAACTACACAGCGGTTACCGTTTTAGTCACGGCACTTTGTGTGCCCGCAATAACACACAAAATATCCAACTTTCTCACATTTTCGAAAAGTGATAAAGCGATACTGGTTATTGCTATATCTGAACGCTGGGAGAAATCGGCTGTGCTCTCTCTGACCTATTTACTATAGAAATATACATATTTTATGGGGCCATAAATACATGTACGCGGATGTACAGAGTGATTGGTACACTCAGGTACAATGTTGTCCACTATACTAGTCTAGTTGTCTCACTAGTCTATTACTAGTTGTCCACTCTAGCTAGTAATCAGATAGTGGCCACCGGAGCACTGGGTTTCTTACTGCACTCTTACTGTTTGTGGTGCACTGTTTCGATCAATCAGGGGACAGCGAAACACAAGTTTATTTGTAACAAAAGTCAAAAAGTTTATTCAAAAAGTTCATTAAACTAAACACATTTAACGCTAAGAGTTAATAATAATTAAACACATACCATTAAAATTGTTTTTAAATGATTGTAAAATTGTTTTTAAATGATTAATTTTTGGACCATCAGTTGTCACAAACTAAATAAATCTTAGCCCATATAGCATCGGATACTGGCTGTGTAAGATTTTTTGCCTGAAAATGAAAATTTTATATCTGAAATATTTAGGTCGACTTTCTACCCCAAAAATAACTATTTTATGTTCCTAATATTTAGGCCGAGAGTTTTCCCCAATACAAAATTTTAGAATGAAAATGTTCACAGCAAGACTTTTTGCACTCTAAGTCGCAAATTTATAGTCTGAACATTTTACATTTTGTTTCGTAGCAATAACATTACTTGCGTTTCGGGTCTTCGCTTTAAAACACAACACATTAAACCTATACACTCGATGACCAACGATATACCATTTCTACTCTAATAGGTTTCGATTTAAACAATACATGAGATTCAAATAGATGTTCCCGATGTTTATAGTCGATGTTTATAATCGATGTTTATGATCGATGTTTATAATCGATGTTTATAATCGATGTTTATAATCGATGTTAATGATTGATGGTTTTGATCGATGTTTATAATCGATGTTTATAATCGATGTTTTTAATCGATGTTAATGATTGATGGTTTTGATCGATGTTTATGATCGATGTTTATGATCATAAGTAAGCAGAACTAGACTATTAAAAGATAGCGACCAGCATTGTTGTCATCAATGATGCAAATTGATGCTCGCTACAAAATTTCTACAATTATTACAAACTAACGATCTTAATTAGTATTAATGAACACATTGGATCATTATTGATCCTATACCACTAATAGATCTTGGTTTGAGTGTGATAAATTCTTGCCCCTCCCGTGGTAATTAAAATTCAACCTTATTCCTCGACATAAAACTCGCAATCCTAAACATGAAATATTTCGTATCGAATGTTTCTGAATTTTTTGCTATAAATGCAACTCAACCCCTGTAGTTGTCATTTAGGTTTCAGCTGCAGCAGTTGTTTGTCCTGCAGCTGTAAGTTGTCATTTAAGAATCAGCTGCAGCAGTTGTTTGCCCTGCAGCTGTCAGTTGCCGGTTGAGCAGCAGCTGCAGCAGCTGTTGTTCCTGTGGACGTACATCACAATCAATCATGTGCAATCAACCACGTGAAAAACCTCTAGCAATGTATGGCATACATTACACAGCCACTACACAGCTGTGTGCATGTTTGTGTCCAGTAAACGGGGCCACACAGTGAATAACATAACAGCCAATATCCATTATATACTGGCGTCTTCAAGTTGTTATTGTTTTCATGGTGTACGAGTCAATAGGTCATTAATGGTGTACTAATTAGTCAACTTAAGTTCTCGTATTCACCGTATATATTCTAAATGTGTAACATTCTATATATATTATCAATCAATTCATCTATCACACATTCCTCCATGCAATCTTGCTTTGTATTCCCTAAGTGAATAGATACATTATTATATAGAAAAATACAAATATTCTATAGTCAAAGTCGCTACATCAAAATATTTATTAATATATTAAAAGAAACATAAAATAAATGCTACTAGGCATGTTTTTTCAGTAAGTACCGTTTTTAAATTAAAAGAAATACGTGCAAATATATCGCAATAATTTTATTTTTACATGAGAGCCTGTACCATAATCTACTTTTCCACATAATTTCCGGGAATAATTAATTGAGGCACTTGTAATAACGTGAATCCAGTTTTCGAATAACCTCCTGATAAAATTCTGCCGCCTGTCTCGTTAACCACTGCATCACAAATATTTAACCACTGCAACTTGAATGCAACTGCAACAAATGTTTAAACTTGCACATGTTAACCACTGCACTTGAAGAAACACCTGGACGGTCAGCGTCTTCAAGACGATAACGAAGTCAAAACATTTGTGATGCAGTGGTTAACAAGTCAGGCGGCAGAATTTATCAGAAAAAAACTGGTGAGAACCAGATTCACGGAAATTATTTAGAAATGTAGATTAAGGTACAGGTTTTCATGTAAAAAGGAGTTTATTGCGATATCTTTGCACGTCCGTTTTTAATTTCAAAACGGTACTCACTCGAAAAACAAAAATTAAAAATTAAAGTAAAAATACTTGAGTTTGCCGTCGCCTCCTGACGCGCCCAGGGGTGATGTCCCCCAACGTCCCCTCTCGGGGGGTGGGCCGGTCCTGCGTGAAAGGGGGGAAGTCCTGGTGGGCGTTGGTGGGGGTCGAGGTCAGCTTTATGGGTTCAATTGCTGGAGTTTCGAGGGGAAGAACCCCGGGTGGGGGTGTACCTGAACCGATACTTGGTTCTTGTCGACGAGCGTTCGATGCGGCGTCGACTATCGGGACCGGTGAACCGACGGTCCCGAACCCGGAGGTCCCGACAGCCGGAGTGATGATCCCTGTGGACCCGAAACCAGGGTTTCCGATGCCAGGGTTCAAGATACCAGTGTTGTAGAGCGGGTTTCCGAGACCGGGGTTGATCCCGCCGAAACCCAATGGGGTTCTGGGGTTGGGGAAGATAGAGTTCGTGTTGCTGCCGTCAGGGGTGATGATGCCGGTACCGGGTGACAACGGTGACGGGTGAAAGGCGTTACCGAAACCGTGGTAACCGTGGTATCCGCCTAAATATTCTATAGTCAAAGTCGCTACATCAAAATATTTATTAATATATTAAAAGAAACATAAAATAAATGCTACTAGGCATGTTTTTTCAGTAAGTACCGTTTTTAAATTAAAAAAAAAATATGTGCTAAGATATCGCAATAATTTTATTTTTACATGAGAGCCTGTACCTTAATCTACTATTCCACGTAATTTCCGGGAATAATTAATTGAGGCACTTATAATAACGTGAATCCAGTTTTTGAATACCCTCCTGATAAAATTCTGCCGCCTGTCTTGTTAACCACTGCATCACAAATATTTAACCACTGTAACTCGAATGCAACTGCAACAAATGTTTAACACTGCACATGTTAACATCTGCAGATTGAAGAAACACCTGGGCGGTCGCCGTCTTCAAGACGATAACGGAGTCAAAACATTTGTGATGCAGTGGTTAACGAGTCAGGCGGCAGAATTTTATCAGACAAAAACTGGTGAAAACCAGATTCACGGAAATTATGTAGAAATGTAGATTAAGGTACAGGTTTTCATGCAAAAAGGAGATTATTGCGATATCTTTGCACGTCCGTTTTTAATTTCAAAACGGTACTCACTCGAAAAAACAAAAATTAAAAATTAAAGTAAAAATACTTGAGTTTGCCGTCGCCTCCTGACGCGCCCAGGGGTGATGTCCCCCAACGTCCCCTCTCGGGGGGTGGGCCGGTCCTGCGTGAAAGGGGGGAAGTCCTGGTGGGCGTTGGTGGGGGTCGAGGTCAGCTTTATGGGTTCAATTGCTGGAGTTTCGAGGGGAAGAACCCCGGGTGGGGGTGTACCTGAACCGATACTTGGTTCTTGTCGACGAGCGTTCGATGCGGCGTCGACTATCGGGACCGGTGAACCGACGGTCCCGAACCCGGAGGTCCCGACAGCCGGAGTGATGATCCCTGTGGACCCGAAACCAGGGTTTCCGATGCCAGGGTTCAAGATACCAGTGTTGTAGAGCGGGTTTCCGAGACCGGGGTTGATCCCGCCGAAACCCAATGGGGTTCTGGGGTTGGGGAAGATAGAGTTCGTGTTGCTGCCGTCAGGGGTGATGATGCCGGTACCGGGTGACAACGGTGACGGGTGAAAGCCGTTACCGAAACCGTGGTAACCGTGGTATCCGCCACCGTGACCGCCGCCGTAAGAACTACCATGACCGCCATGAGAACTGCCATATCCACCATGTGAATTACCGTAACCACCATGTGAACTACCGTATCCACCGTGTGAATTACCGTAACCAGTATAAGAACTGCCGTGTCCACCGTATGAACTGCCGTGTCCACCGTAAAAACTGCCGTGTCCACCGTATGAACTACCGTGTCCACCGTAGGATGGTACGCCGTAACCACCATCACCATAACCATCATGGTGGTTATGATGGTCCTCGTAGTGGTCATGGTTGTGGTGGTTGCCACCGCTATTAGCGTTGATGTAGAAGCCTTTGAAGTAGCGGAAGTTCTTGCCGTTGTTATAGTCGTCGTTGTTGTAATACTTCTTCTTGATCGCCAGGCCTACAAAAGGAGAATCTTACGTCAAAAAATAACAGCTAGCACAACATGAATTAGAACTAATGTTGGATAACATCATCCAGCGCAACATGCATTAGAACTAGTACTAATGTTAGGTAACATCCTCCAGAGCAACATGCATTAATTAGAACTAATGTTCTAATGCAATCATTAGAACTAATGTTCTAATTGATTTTAAGCCAATTTTCTGTAACCGATATGTTGATGATACCTTTTTGATTTTTAAGCATCCTTCTCATGTGGGCCTTTTCTTTGACTATCATAATCTCCAACATAAGACTATCAAATTCACCATGGAGCTTGAATCAAACAATAGCTTGTCTTTCCTTGATTTCAAAGTTTCCAAATCTGATGGCCGTTTCCAAACTTCTGTTTTTAGAAAATCGACCTTTACCGGCTTAAGCACCAGCTTTTTTAGCTTTTGATCCTTTCGTTTCAAATTAAATGGGATCCAAACATTGATAAACCGTGGNGTAACATCCTCCAGCGCAACATGCATTAGAACTAATGTTAGGTAACATCCTCCAGCGCAACATGCATTAGAACTAATGTTAGGTAACATCCTCCAGCGCAACATGCATTAGAACTAATGTTAGGTAACATCCTCCAGCGCAACATGCATTAGAACTAATGTTAGGTAACATCCTCCAGCGCAACATGCATTAGAACTAATGTTAGGTAACATCCTCCAGCGCAACATGCATTAGAACTAATGTTAGGTAACATCCTCCAGCGCAACATGCATTAGAACTAATGTTAGAAAACATTCTCCAGCGCAACATAGAATAGCTGTTAATGAGTGGATCTTGCACCAGTACAGCTGTTTATAAGTGGAGCAAGCGGCTTCAAATTTATTTGCTGCTGAAATATTCAGATGCACAGTTGTTTATTGTTAGAGCATACAGATTTACAGCTGTTTATTGACGAAACATACATATTTAAATCGTTTTATAGAAGGAACATACAGATTTAAATCGTTTTAAGGAAGGAACATGCAGATTTAAATAGGTTTATAGAAGGAACATACAGATTTACAGCTGATTATAGATAAAATATACAGATTTAAATCGGTTTATAGAAGGAATATACAGATGTACAGCTGTTTATAGAAGGAATATACAGATGTACAGCTGTTTATAGAAGGAATATACAGATGTACAGCTGTTTATAGAAGGAATATACAGATGTACAGCTGTCAGGACGCAGCTGCAGACTCACCCAGAGCTCCCAGCAGCCCCAGGGAGCCCAGCACTCCAGCTGCCCCCAGCACCAGCGCATGTGTGGCACATGGCAACATGGCCGACATGAGCACCCAACATAGCGGTGCTATGCTCACATAGCGGCCCAACAACATCTGCAGCATAGATTTAATATTTTTATTTACATATGTTTTTACTACAATGTGGTAAGTACTATAGATGAGCGCAACGATGAGATTGTGCACAATCGCTCCCTGATATAAATGAGTGGAAACTCATTGTCCACTCGTCTTTGCTGGGTGAACAATAATCGAAGTTAGTGACATATATACGTTGTTCCCTTAACAATAGACTCGTCATAGTCAGTATTGTTCAAAAGCTCTACCTTAATATATGATACCATTTGATCACATTTCAACATTAATGTTAAGGAAATGAGGGTTTGAACAACATATATTAGTAAATAATCGTTTGGTGATTACTGCGAAGAATGCAAATAGATATTCATACTCCTTTCGCAACCATGTCTACATTGTATAATTTTAAAACCTATAACATCCACAACACGTGGCCCGACGTACAACATCCACAACACGTGCCCCGACGTACAACATCCACAACACGTGCCCCGACTTACAACATCCACAACACGTGCCCCGACTTACAACATCCAAAACACGTGCCCCGACGCACAACATCCACAACACGTGCCCCGACGTATAACATCCACAACACGTGGCCCGACGTACAACATCCACAACACGTGCCCCGACGTACAACATCCACAACACGTGCACCGACGTGCAACATCCACAACACGTGGCCCGACGTGCAACATCCACAACACGTGGCCCGACGTACAACATCCCCAACACGTGCCCGACGTACAACATCCACAACACGTGCCCCGACGTACAACATCCGACATGTTTCCCGAAGTATAAATTTTCAAAATCTTGAATCCAAAAATTTGTGCGCGTTTTTTCCTCACCTTTTTCACAGGTGATCCGCAGGGTGCTAAGTACGTTTTAGGTGGTCCTCGAATGAGGCTACTTGGTACACTGGTGCTGTTAAGTGTAAAGTTCTTCACAAATTGGTACTTGATGATTCCTCTTGGTACTAATTAGTGCGTTTCATGAGGTCAATGGTACAATTTAAATTTTACATCACACTTGTAGTACTTTAATTGGTACACGTCTCTAGTTTCACTATACTCGTCTTCGTGCGTGGTCTTGACGCTGGTTCTGGCGCGTAAGTATCCCTGGTCAGACCACGCCGAACTTTATATGCTCGGGACAAACCTTATCTCGCCCCCTTATCTCGCCGCCTTATCCCGCATGCGCAAGCAATGTAATGTTGTTATACCAGCAACCTTATGTCACACCAGTAACACTGTTGAATCTGGAAAATTAAATCGTGTCAGCTACATTATGTCTTATCAAGAACATATCAGTAACATTGTGGCACATCAGGAACATTACGCTGCATCAGCAACATCATGTCTGTTAGAAATTATGTCTATGATGCTAGGTCACGATGCCGAATGACATCATTTTTTCTTATATACATGATATTATATTCCTGTCTGTTGTTGGCATGATAGCATCATCATGTTCGCTTCAATATCATCCTAGTTGTTGACATCATCATCTATTTCCCTCTCATTTGTATCATCGACAGTCTATCATTTGTGTGACTGTGAATAAATAACTCAAATTTTCGCTTGTCATTTTTTCGAATTACTCGGCCTAACGAGATGAATTTCAATTAATTGAGAAGTTCATTACATGAACGAGCTTAATTATTTGTTATCAAGCATAAACAGTATAAGTTCACACTTTCGGTGGTCGTAACTATATATAAGGACTCACGATGAATGCATTCGCATTCATTTATATTGATATTAACGTTACCTCAATTCAAGATTTCGAGATTGAATCATTAAGTCGCAGAAAATGCACTAATCCGGCAAATTTATTATTCATCCAAAATTATTCACATATAAATCTGCGCGTACAGCACCTATATGCAGAAGCTTCGCACTCATTTTTGTATATTCACTCATTTCAGCATATCTGGAAATGTTCGTATTTCATTCACTGCACGTAATTAAATTATCCTTCCACTTTCTTCCGATCCTCTAGCATAGCACGTGCATTCGCGGCCGACCACATAAGCGAGAGTTGAGTGATTTTCCTCAAATACTCAAGTTTTAAATAATGATAATAATGCGCACAATTTTTCTCACCGCTCCTCAAGATAACAACAGAACTGTGACCGCTATACTGTCGGGGCGAGGCTGACCAAACTCACACGTGGGTGAGAGGTGGGTAAAAACTGTCACCTAGTGATTGGGTGAACCTGCATGAGGGGTAAGTAATATAGTTCTTACATGAGTGATTGGGTGAACCTGGAGGGGGAGTAATAGTTACATGAGTGATTGGGTGAACCTGAGGAGGGAGTAATAGTTCTTACATGAGTGATTGGGTGAACCTGAGGGGTGAGTAATAGTTCTTATATGAGTGATTGGGTGAACCTGAGGGGGGAGTAATAGTTCTTACATGAGTGATTGGGTGAACCTGGAGGGGGAGTAATAATTCGTACATGAGTGATTGGGTGAACCTGAGGGGTGAGTAATAGTTACATGAGTGATTGGGTGAACCTGCATGAGGGGTAAGTAATATAGTTCTTACATGAGTGATTGGGTGAACCTGTACGATGAAAAGTTTAACGAAGTTTCGCCCAGGGGCGTTCGTGAAAGTTAAGGAAACTTGCGACATTCCCTCGCCCTAGCACATCAGTGTCAAGTTTTGCCACCTCAGAAAAACAGCAACGGTATATTCATAACATACCTACCCATACTCACATATATATTGACGTATTACTCTCGTATATATTGTAGTATTCAATTATCCATTCCGTCGTTCAATCGTACACTCAAAGAGCCAAAAGCAAGCTCATTAAGTAGGATTTAATACAGATAACTTTATTTATATGAAGTAGGATTTAATGCACATAACTTTATTTATATTGAGTAGGACTTTATACAGATAACTTTATCTAGATTAAGTAGGATTTAATACAGATAACTTTAGTTATATTAAGTAGGATTTTATACAGGGAACTTTATTTATATTAAGTAGGATTTTATACAGATAACTTTATTTATATTCGGCAAGGATTGTGCGGCGCAAGCCTGCATGCAGCCACAAATATGTAGGGGCTGTTGGGGCGCGTATCCAGGATACCTATCGTGTCCGGCTATAATTTCAGGTCCGGACTGGACCTGAAATTTTTTTATGAAAAATAATAAAAGATTTGAGAAACGTTGGAAAGAATTAGAATAAAGAAAGGAAATGAGTGAATCAAAAATTTAAATTTACTTTTGCAATTGGCAAAAACAAATCTAATTTAAAAGACGCAAAATATTTTTTTTAATTTGAAAAAATAGTTCAACGGGAGTTCTTTCTTCTATGTAAAATTGAGAATATAGGTTTGAACGAATCTGTCATTAATCTGTAATTCATATATATTATATCTTCAATTATCGTGCATTAGATTATACAGATTATTTTATTGTGATTCTGCGTGACATCAATTCAGCTGCTAATAGCGCATATTAGCTGCTAATGTGCAGCATCAGTATATTTCACAGTAGTACCTGCAGTTATACGAGGCCACTGGATGGGACCTGTAAAAGTGATCCTTAAACCCAAAAATATAAGTCGTGAATACATCACTTGAGTCTTAAATGTCACAAACAATGTCCAATCAACTCTGAAAAGTCCTAAGCACACTGATGCTTGAGTCTTAAAATTCCTAAATACATTACTACTCAAAACCTTTAATTCAACCTATCCTTGCATTCCTTCATTTTCCGGTGCATTAATTCCTTCTTCCGGCGCATTCCTTCCTTCTTCCGGCGCATTCCTTCCTTCTTCCGTAGCATTCATTCCCTCTTGCGGAAGATTGATTGTCCTTCCTTCATTCCTTCATTTCCATCTTGCGGAACATACCTTCTTTCTTCAGGTGCATTCCTTCATTCTTCCGACACTTTTCTTTCTTCTTCCGATGCATTCCTTCCTTTTTCCGGCTCATTTCTTCCTTCTTCCGATGCATTACTATTTTCTTCCGGTACGCACGTTCCTTCCTTCTTCCGGTGCATTCCTACCTTCTTCTGGTACGTTCCTTCCTTTGTCCGGTGAATTTCTTCCAACATTCATTCGGGCATTAACATGCGCCGTTAATCGGGCAGTAAAGTACGACGTCAATTTGGCACCAACATACGTCAGTAATTGGTCAGTAACGTACGACGTCTTTGCTGCCTGCTGTCCTAGATGCACTGAAAGTCTCACAAGGACGTTCATTTGAGGACGATTGAGTAGGAATTTTTATCTATACTTTGGTGTATTTTAGTTGTGTGTTCAATGCGGGGAAATGAAAAGTCGTCTATTTTGTAGAACTATTCTCTCGACTGTTAAAATCTTTGCGGTTTACACATTAGAAGCCATTTTAATTTCCTCACTTTTTCTAATTAATTCTCATTTTGTTTCGTACTTTTCTTACCGTTAATCATTATGCATGGGCAACCTTTTTTAATTTTTTATGCTTTTTTCCATTCTCTTCCTTGTTACGAGAATAAACTAATTTGTTTCCACGAAAATACTTTGAAGAAGAGGTGATTTCGATTTCTTGATTACCTTCCAGGCAAATTATCATTGATTTCCTGATTAACTTCCAGGCATTTGACTGCCCGTCCAGCTTTCGCTTTCACTTCACATGGAATTTCAA